ATGCAAGGCGCATGCCAAAAGTTGGAGGAATGATGGTCAGTTTATTCAACAGGACTTGCGCTCCGCTATGGTCTTCAAAGATGAGGGCGATGTCATCTGCGTACTCCAGATCGATAAGGCTCCCACCAGCAACAATTTGAACACCAGGATTCTGAAGACCGCCCAGTGATCGTTTCATTATTTCATCGATCACGAAGTTGAACAAGAATGAGGAGAGTTGACATCCTTATCGGTCACCACTTTTTGTAGGGAAGCTTTTGGAGAGCTGGCCATACACTTTCACCCGCCCAGAAGTATGCGAACATAGAGATCGGATTACGTTCACAAGCTTCTGGTACATATCTTGTTGAGCAAGTTTAGTTAACACCACTGACCGGTCGACATAATCGAACGCACCCTTGAAGTCAAGGAGTACCAAAATGGTGGGTCGTCTATATATATGGCGTTGCTCTAACACCTGATGGAGTGTGAAGATGTGGTCAACCGTCGAAATGCCACTTGATTCCCACGAGTCATGATTCGCGTGCCACTGTAGGACGTCGAAGAATCAGTGACGCCAGAAGTATGGTTACAACAGGAGTCATACCAACACTCAAATCTCACTGAGAGTACCTTTTCTGAATATGGGTACTACTATCTTTTTGCAGTGATCTTCCTTATGGCTGAAACGTATTTGGTTTTGATTCCCTATCAGCCATTTTGTTGAAAATGTATATCAGTGAGATTCTCTCATCACCAGGAGAGCTTGGGATCGGATTTCAAGATGAATTGGACAGATCGTTAAGGACGAAGTGGGCTATCACGTTGAACAAAATGACGCAAAAGTACGTCTAGGCTCGTGTATTTGACTGCAAATTGTCAGTCAGAAAGCGAAAAGTACTACCCTGTCCCGTAGAAGCTTCAGACCGTCAACATTGTTTGGTGTCTAGCCCAAATTGCCGACGCAACATCACCTGTTTAATCAGCAACTACGTGTGAAGCAGTTTTTCACGTCATTGTGATCCGTTTTTAAAACAGGAAACTTTATGTTCAAAGAAAACGCAGTCTGAACACATGCCGGCCTGGAACCCGTCCGTTAACACCAAATGATTCCGCGTAAATCACTTTACTTTCTGCAATAGGGGATGACGTTTTTCATTGGCCATCCTCTTCCTCCCACGCAACTTCAATAACTTATACTGCCCAATGAAAAGTAAACCATGACTGTTCGGTTTATTTGTACTTTTACATAAGAGTAACGCCTTGCATTATTTTGGAAATTTCGTGCAATTAGTAGCAACCAGGAACAACAGATTTTCTCCATGAGCTGGTAAAGATCCTAGCGGTGCTCATCAATGATTTCCCACCTACCATTACAAACACAACAAAGTTAACAGTTTCTCTGAACCGCAAACAGCACAACACAGATTTCATCACCTTAGATGTGTTGAAATGTTTTTTATTACGCGAGAACCTAACCAATCAAGAAAATAACCGTTAATCGATCCAGGAAACCTTTTGGTATGCAGTCGTACGCCATAAATTAACAACATTGTTTACGGTATAGTCTTGTTATTGCCAAACAAACCTGGGCGAATCGTTCAGTGTGTGGAGAGGGCGTTTCGTTGTTCACATATTAGGGAAGAATTTTTATGTTTTGGCTGAACCGTTTCTGATCGGAATAGGGTTATAGTGCACTCTTAAGCAAATCGTATATCTATCGCTTTCTGGTAAGCAGTTATATCCAATTTTTATGTGATTTTAAGACGCATACTTCTGATTGATCCTTCAAGGTCAAGTAAACTTTTACTGTTTTTCAAATTTTCCGCAACCAGGTTGACTCCACTTGCATAATAACATCTTGAGTAAAAAGACGTGGTAATGGATATAATCGGAAAAATATTTCAAATAATTACAGTGCAAACTAGATATTGTGAGGCAGTTAAATTAATATATATGTTGCACGGAAGGCTAACTTCGGAAAACTAAATCAGTGGAGATTCCCCCCTGCCATAGCGGTGTACAATAGGCGAATAATAAACTATGCGAACGCTTACATTCGCTCCAATCTGCATTGAATCAGAAACCACGGTAGAAATCTATTTATTGTAACCTGTGGGAGTGTCTGTGATTCGACTAGCGTGACCTTGTTTCCGAAGGTCATCCCACTCAGTTGGTTTCGGGGTTACCTTGGTCAGTCTAATCAACTCTGTTTAATCAACCCTTCGTTTATCCGAAGAGCAGTTTTCGGTTACTTAGTCAGTCACCCCTTGTTTGGCTTGTTCACCAAGGTGATTCCTTGGTGCACGCATAAAAATGTCTAATGAAGGGATTTTAGTTATATCGGCATGTTCATCAGAGGACTTGCAAAAGATGGACGATAATGCTGGGTTATTTGACAGCGCTTGTTTGACAGAATTCAATTCATTTACATTCGGTTCGAAAAACCAAATGAGTTTAGACTCATCGAGTGTGCGGTTATTTAGAAGAATGCAGCGATTCCTTAAACTTTTCTTGTGTGTGCTTGAAATATATGTAGATGGACACACTGGTGACCTCTGGGTGGCGTGCGACTAACTGTTTCACCTGAAAGTACTCGATAGCTCAAGGCTGTCGATGGGCTGTCGACGGATTTTCAGCAACCTTATGAGTAGTGCATTACAAATACATACATGTGTTGCGATATCTCATAGCGACTGAAACATGAGGCGGCCTGGTGCAGCACATTCAGTTGCCTGGATTCAGCTGGGTTCCAGGTGAGTCTCTCGAAAAAACCACGTTAGCTTGCCAATGAGTGTATATTCGCTAATTTCGTGCAATTTGGTTCCAAGTATAACATAAGGTTGACGGAAATCCGGGGGCTGCAGCTACCTGATGAGCCCCAAAGAGGACGAAACTGGTCGTGGGCTGTTGACGGATTTTCAGCAACCTTATGAGTAGTCCATTACAAATACATACATGAACACAACCTCTTCTCGGAAGGTTCTACCAAGTGGCTTTCGTCATTGTGGGGCGAGACAGCCCAAATGGTTAGAGCGTAAATTTGCTAACCGGAAGGCCCATGGTTTGAACCCGACCTGTGCCACTCGGCTTCCTCTGTCTAGGCTTGGGCAACCTGGCAGTATCCAAGCCCTCGTGCAACCTTTGGGTGGCATGGCAGCTAGGAACCGATAGGGTGTTACTGCTTAACGACTTCCGTCAATGTACGACGGAAAACTTCTCACACGTTGTTTTTTGGCGTGATAATAAGGCATTAAATGAAAGTGATCGCTTTTTGATGAATGCTATTGGTCGAGCACATCGTGTTATTCCATCACCTGCATTTTGTCCCGTGGAAATATCCACCCATCCTAGCTATCATAGCGGGTGTCAGCTACCATCCCAGATAGAAACCAGTGCACTCTGTTTGACATTGGCAAATTGTAGCAAGACGATAGTGGTCTTACTGCATGCACATTTGCAGTCTAATGCGCACCAGAACCGTAAGAATGCACATCAGTTGCTCTGACGTGTGACGAGGAATAGGGGTTGTTCAGTTCATGTCATCTCGGGTAGTTTGCAACCATGGTGTGTAACAGAGCGCTCCTTAAAACACACACACACACACACCTAAGTATGTTTGTGAAGAAAGCAAACAACAATGACACTGGTCATTAGCTAAAAGCAGTCGAGATGGGATGGCTAAGAACTTTTGGTGAAACTTAGCTTAGGGGGTCTTGTGCTTGAAACATGTGGAGTGAAACGATGCCCTGCCACGAGAAGTATAGCCTCATATTTGGCCGCGCTCTTCTAGTTGGTACTACGACAGACATTGATATTCGGTCACCATAAAGGAGAGGTGTTCAACATTTTAACGGAATGGATGGAAATATAATGGGATTTGTATGATGTTGTTCACACTGCGAAGTTTCTGCATGTGAGGAGGGTTGTGTTGGTTGGAGGGTCAGCTCCGAACGTAACTGGACTACACAGCAGCCAATGGGAATACCGTTTTTTCGAGACAGATCTAACTAACTGTATTTAACACTTGGCCTTGGCAGATGAATTTTATTTTAAGTATCACTTTTTCACCCACCTAGATCTTTCCACGTGAGCTTTCTAAACAGCCCGTTTGCGGCTGCACATGACCGCCTGTACTCGTCAGTGATCAATAATAGATCAGCTGACTCGCGCGTTCATTGGCTGGCTTGTTTGTCTAAGCGCATCAGCCTATCAGGCGGCTATCCAGACTCGGGTTCACGATATTAGGAAGTCATTAAGAAAACTCCGGTCCACAAAAGTTGTGTGAGGAGATTCGGAAACTTTTAATGGAAATCTCGTCCCGGAAATGGAACCAAAGTCTAGAGACACTGTACAGCTGTTTCTTCCAGGAATTTGCGTTTCACAAAACCCTAGGAATTGTTGAAAAGAGCGGCTCCTCGGCTAGTGGGTTGGACATTTTACCGTTCGACCAAGAGCGGGTGATCAGCAGTGTGATTATTTGAACTTGCACCTATATTTTGAGCCAGTCAGCACGTGACCATGTGATGGGACCAGAGGGGAGTGGAGCTATATAGTTTCTACGTGCGAACTAATCACTCTTCTGATCAGCCGTTTGTAGCCGAACGGCTACATGTTCAACCATTGGCAAAAGACCGTTAATTGAAAACTCGCTGCTTCGTCAGAAGGACACTGCAGGTGATTCATGCTGAGGATGACACCTCTTTCGAGGAACGTACAGAGCAGTATAAGCAATATGTGCCTTTGTGGTTTACAACATTTAAGCAAGTCTTAAGCAACGTGAAAAGTCAATAAAACCAAGGTAGTTTTTCCACAGTATATCGAGTTGACTGCACAAAACAATCCTCAGAAGGCTGGCGAGAACGATTTCTTACCAAGATCCGAAATCACACTGACTGGTTGTCTTAAACCTATACACTGCACTCACAACAAAATTGGGGTTCGCTGTGTGACTATTTTCGTTTCATTGTTTAATCAAGTCGCTTTAAACTGCACTGCATCATGTGTGCGTCATACAAGTTCACAAATTTTGTGACGGAAGAGAGCGACAGGGTATATTCATACCGTATCTCTGGTTGGGATGAACAGTTTCGCGCTAACTGGGACCGTATTATGCGCAAATTGGCTATCCGTTCGAAGAACCACTGTCCAAATGGTTAACAGGCACTTCGAAGCATCCCGTCCAATTGTTTGACACAGACCCAGTGAGGTGAAATGTAAACTCGGACATTGTGTATCAAATTGTACAAAATACTTAGTCTCTCTGTTGAGCATACAAAGCGCAGCCACGCCTTAGTCGTCTCACCACAATGGCACCTTTTGTTTGCCAGATTTCCAGCAGAGTGTTGAAGATGGCAATTCAGCTGACATAAATTCAACTTTTTCCTCATTAACTGAAACCATCCAGATAACGTTTTCAGCAGAATGCATCCTTGGTCCCCACCGACATGTCCAACCTCCTACTTAAAAGCTGGCTATGCCCTTCCCAACCGATCACTGACAGACTTAGATTTACTACTGTTATGGATGGCCTGAGGCGTTTATTCATGTCTAGGTCAGTGAATATGCATCATTTATGCTAGCCGTATTCCTAATACAAGTTCACATCAGACTCCAGTATAAGACCCATCTAACAAGCCCAAAACCGGAATAAGAGAGTCAAAATCCACGACATTTCATATGTTCGAACTCGCATGGTCAACTGATAAAACCGTGGCACTGTCAGAGCAACCTCTGGTTTAGCAAGACTGAACAGTGAGTAATTTTCAGGCTTTTAGATGTAGTCACGTCAGAAAATCAGAATTGAGGATGATTCATGATCCGTTCACTAATCAGTAGCCGTCAGATCGATCAATTTACTCGTTCCGCCAGCCGATGATGATCCATCAATGACTGTCGGACTTTGAGGCCGTGTGAAATGTGTCTTAAACGTTCACTGTTTGATTTGCGTTCTGCCAAAACTGTCATTACCACAAGTCACCCATATTTACGGTAAGAAATCATGGCTAAATTACATCAGTTGAACCTGATAAAGCCACATACACACACACACACAGCTAGGCTGTTGATCAGTTTGTGGACACACCAGGACAAAATCTGGAAGTGCTGTTATATGGAATAGTATGGAAGGATCCTTGTTCAGACAGGGCTAACATGGTGTGACACAGACTACCGGGACTCGGAAT